GAAGAAGTTTCATTCTTTTCGGAGAGATTCCAACCATCCAGTGGAGTGATTCCAATCAACCAAGAGGGTTACTTTTTTAGCCTTCGAAATGCAGCTACGTGAGAGATAGAAGAAGCATTCACAAGCCTCAAACAGTTCGTGTGGATTCATGAAGGTGTTTGCTCGAGAGGAGTATTCGTCGATTGATTCCAAATTATCAGCCGGTTCGTTTATTCGATTTCGTAGTTGATTCTTCTCTTGAATTGAGATTAGATGTCATGGATTTGATCCTATCCATGTTAGCGTATCACAAGAATGATAGATATGTCAAAGAACTATAATCGATCACAATAATCTTGAATGACTATATTGACAACATGTCTGAACATATATATTTTAAGATAGGGTATATGCGTGAGTATTAAGTCGGTATACAGGTTGTTAATGGAAGTATATTACAAATATATATATATTGGAATTAGTAAAATAAATTTAAAGAAATAAATTTATATTATTAATTTGGTTTTTGGGTAAAATTAGTTACTTTGCGGGAAACTAAAATATTCTACTGGAGGATGCTTACTCACAATTAACAAACTTTCAAACACATCCATATGTAAATCTATTCAACCTCTATTTGTAAAGATTTGGTTTTTCAAGCGATTAAATATTGGGGATTATGTGGATAATAACTCATTTTCATATGTTAACTAAGATCATAAGAGTTATCTTTAAGCAATGTCCTATGTTGAATATGTCCGCTTGATTGAAAGTTCTTATCAATTTGTTTCCATATTATTCCAATAAATGTACTAGTTTTATTATTTAGTAGATTAGTTTATTATTTGTGGTAGCTCATAGCTAGCATCTCTAATTTGGTTGGCTATTATTGAGAATTTGGATGACAATAATTAGAAATTTCTCTTGCTCAAAGAGATTGCATTTGAAGCAGAAGTAAGCACATTTTCAGATAATGATGTTTTTATCCATGCATTTTATTTTGATTTTGTCAAAATTAAAAACAAACTACTATTCAATTATCGGCACTTTTGATTTGTATGGTGTATTAACTAACAGATTGAGTCATTGTCTATCGGTATATGATATTTATATCAAAATAGGAGTTTGACTTTAAATATTGAAAGTATGTAGAAGCATCTGATTTTAGTGTTTTTGTAGTTATATTTGTTTTTGGTAATATAATTGTAGATGGTGAGACAAAATTGTTAATTTATGTGTAGGCTTGATTGGCTTTGATGGAAAAGGACAAAAACAGCCCGGAATTGCTAATCATTTGTTCATATCAGGGGGAGTTTTATGTAATAGCTTTATAAGCTTCCACGAAAATACGATTGTTTTGGTCGTCTCGAGCATAACATAAGAAGTTGTAAAGACTGGCTAGCGTAGTCTTTTTTAAGGTGTAGTTTTTGGTTTTGTCCTGGACGTCCCATTTGGCGTGTAATTCCTTTTGACGTGCTTGATATAATGTAATATTGTGGGTAAATATACAACAGCAAGACCATTTGCATAGAACCGCGATTGTAATTTGGATGTACTTTGGTACATGAACACGAACAACGGGTATTTAGCAGTTCCCTTTTGTGTATGATAATTCAATAACACGAGTATCAGAAAATGTAACAGAGGCACACAAATTCTGTGGTGAGGTACTTAGTCGATCTCTCGAAGCACAATAGTGTAGTGTGGTATTACTGTCCTATCAAGGTTAGTGTGGGGCAACAAACATATCCTTTAACAGCCAACATAATTCAATTTAGTCATTTATGACATTATTAGACATCTAAAAATGAATATTAGACTATAATAGTACATATATCATACAACTTATCTAATTCATTCTTGACTTGTTTAACCATTCATAATAGATACGTGTTTTTTACATTTTCTGACAATTCAAAGTGTCACATGAAGACTACTATAATGAAGGCATCCCTGGTTACCATCAGCGAGTGAATATTTTGAAATAAAAACGGTTGTTGTTCAACAACATGTTATCAGGGCATACATACTCTTTACGGAAGCATATGATACATTACTATAGGTAGTTATGATTTTTCCTAGGGTATATGGATATTTTATGTAGGTACGTAAGAATGTGACCTAGGTACAAACACCGACATATGAGGTATAAACAATGGTTTTTAGATATTATTTGTGTATTAGCAGGTATCCTTGAATGTAGTTGATTTTAGTCATTCCCACGAATAGGGGCAAATTCGCGTATTCGGTGAAAGCACTTCCTCTCTCAACTTTGGTAGACTGATTGTTTTCATGTTTGCTACTATATGAATTACTACGTAATAAGTCTAGAAAATAATCAATTTATGAGAATAGTGATGTATGAGTAACAACCAACAAATTTAACCATATCATTTCTGACTTGTTTAGTCATCCATAGTATATATGTATTATTTTTCTTTACTTATAGTTAAGGGATTCACGGAAACGCAATAATGATAAATTCATCCATGATTATCAAGAGTAATTTAATATTTTGAACTAAGTACGGCCCATTTTCCAACCAAGATAACTAAGACATAGATACGCGATAGCAGACCATATGACTTCATATTGTAGGTACGTAAAAACTGCATTGGGGTATGTTTTTAGAGCACGTATACAACAATATGCTTGGGGTACAAAGACCGACAATCGATGTATGATTGGTGGTTACTTAAGTATTATATGTATAACTGCAAGTAGTATCGTTAAATGTGATTGATATCAGTCAATCTCCCGACGAATGAGGCAATTAAGGCCCTCTGTGAGAGCACTATCTGTATCAATTGAGATATATGCATGAGTGTTAAGACGGTATATACATAAGTGTTTAGAATTTGTATTTGAATAATTTTATATTTTATATCTTTACTTTTTAGGTGTGTTGTTGTATTTAAAATTGTTGAATAGGAAAAAAAATTGACTGTATTTATTTTTTTAATTGATTATTTTAAAAAATTTAATTTACTGTTTTTTTAATAAAATTATATTTATATTTATTTTATTTTGACGTCTTAAATTAAAAAAAAAATGAAAATATTTAAATATGAAAAAAAAAAAAATTGTGTAAATATCTATCTGTAGATTTTATATAAATCTTTTTATTGGAAAAACTATTACAATATAACAACAAGAATTGAAAAAACTATTACAATATAACAAGAATAAATGCATCTAACTAAATCATTATTTAAAGTTTATTCAATTTTCTTTTCTTTTAAATTTTATTTTCTATAAAATAAGGGTTTGTTTGCTTTGTGAAAAATTTTTAACATATTTTTCTTAAAAAATATATATATTACACATATTTATTATTTTTTTTTATATATTTACACAGTTTTATATATCTCACATAAAGTAAAAATTCTCTTCAAACTAAAATTCAAAACAAACAAACCCTAAGATTTATACAAATATATAAAATACTATAAATAAATTTATTTCTAATATTTATAATAAAAAGTTGTATCTTATACATACGATTTTGAATATTAGATAGAATAATTTTTAAGTATAGATATTTTGCTAACATTATATTAAATCATATAAAAAAATTTATATTATTTATAATATTTTTGTAATATTTACGTAATATTTTATATTATGCTAAATATATTTATATTTGTACAAAAGTAATACTCCCTTCGTCCCGTAAGAAGGTTGCCATTGGCTTTTTGTGTGTTGATATTTTAATATTAATTATGATATCATTACGTAGTACAAATTAAGAAAAAAAAACAAAAATATATTTATTAGTCTCTTATAATACATATACAATGATATTTGTCGAGTAAATTATTCAAATATAAGAATATTTTTAATGTTAAGTACAATAAAGCAAAAGATAAATGACAATCTTTTTGCGGGACGGAAGGAGTACTATAAGTTATTAATATCAATTTTTCTTATTTTATAGGTAGAATTAGAAAAATAAGTAAACTAAGATTGATATAATGATATAGATAATCATAGTTGTATTTAAAATTCTATATATTTAATTTTTGATTGCAATTTTCTATAATTTCTCACTAATATTGATTATATATACACATATACATATCATGGTTTTATTAAAATTTTACGTAAATATTTTAGATTGTATTTCATATAAATTTGTCATATTGTAATTCATACATTATATACTTTATTTTATAATTACACTACGATAACACAATAATGTTTGTGCAAATTTAGAAATTTCAATGAATATGAATATGAATAAATTTGAGGGGAAATAAGAGTGATCGAATGCATTGAGGACGAAAAATTTCAATGTATTGTGGTACATAAACGAGAATAGCGGGTATAAAATTTTCTTTAGGCATCTGACAAGTGTGTAGTAATTTTCTACCTCACCACTACAATAAAATATGACCGTAATTATTATTTTTATTTTAAAATACACAAAAAGAATATGTAAAAAATAAATAAAGGTATATCAGCTGAACAATTTAGATAGAACGTGATATAATATAGATACATAGAAATATGTTATAAATATATAAAAAAATATTAAAAGTATTTAAATATATTTGAAGAGTGTATCATATTTATATTTCACTATATAATGAAAAAGTAAAATGTAAAAATAAATTTAAAAAAAAAATAATAATAAAAAAAAATAGACTAACTTTTTAATAGCAGGACTGAATTTAAATCTGACAGAAAGTACAGACTCCATAAAACAATGAAATACGTTTTGAACAGTGTTTGATTGAACCATCAGAGAGGCTGCAGAGTGCACAGTGCAGTGAAGCATGTGACTTACTGACTTCAACCGGCTACCGGCAATCCCATTCAAATTTCTTGTCACTCCACCACCAGACAAAAACCCAAACTCTTCCCCACTCCCGGGACCAAAACTCCCAAAAGATCTTCACCATCCACCCCTAAAATCAACGGTTCCGATTCACGTACACCAAACACCAAGAAAATCACCCATTTTGATTTCACATTGCACTCTCTGCTCCTCAGTCATTCAAACAGAGTCACCATTTTGAAAGAAAGAAAGAAAGAAATACCTTTCCCTTCCCAAACCAAACTTTTCCATTTGCATCCCTAAAAATGGAGTCCCTTTCTCTTTATGTGTCTCTCACTCTTCTGGTGTCCCTCTCACTCCTCCATTCAACAACATCATCCTCCTCGTCCTCCCAGCAGCTTGTCTCCCTTCTGATGAGCATCAAGTCCGCATTAGACCCTCAGAACCAAATCCTCAGCTCATGGTCATGGTCACCCAATAACAGTGGCAGCCCTTGCACCAGCTTCCAAGGCATTGCCTGTAATGACCAAGGCCACGTCGTCAACATCTCACTCCAAGGCAAAGGCCTCTCCGGCCACATCCCGCCGGAGATCGGCCTCCTGACCACCTTGTCCGGCTTGTATCTCCACTTCAACAACCTTAAAGGCCTCCTACCCAAGGACCTTGCTAATTTGACTCACCTCTCTGACTTGTACCTCAATGTCAACTCCCTCTCTGGCCCCATTCCCCCCCAGATTGCTTCCATCCCCAATTTGCAAGGTCACTTCGCTAGGGTTTAATTTTTATAGTACTACATATATTATTTCCATTTCATGACCCAGTCTTGATGTTTTATTTTATTGGTCTTTGGGCAGTGTTGCAGCTCTGCTATAACAAGCTGAGTGGAAACATCCCGACACAGATCGGTTCGATGAAGAAACTCACTGTTCTTGCGTTGCAGTCGAATCATTTGAGCGGTGCGATTCCTGCCAGTTTGGGGAATTTAATGAATCTGACGAGGCTGGACTTGAGTTTCAATCACTTGTTCGGATCCATCCCCCTTCGATTAGGCCATCTGCCTATGCTCAAGCTTTTCGACGTTCGAAACAATACCCTTTCGGGCAATGTCCCTTTAGGTACAATCAAATATATATATATTAATGGATTCATTTTCTCGATGTCCTAATCAGACATGAATTGTTTGTTTGATTTGTGTCCGATCCCATTGTGTTGTTCTTGTGAAGCTTTCAAGAGATTGGAACAAGGCTTTCAATATTCGAACAATCCCGCCCTCTGCGGGACCAATTTTCCGGCACTCGAGCAATGCGGAGCCTCGAATTCGACCAAGCCGGAGGCGTTTGGCCCCGGGACGACCCGGCATTTCCCTTCAAAGAACATTCCGGAATCAGCTAATGTTGGCCGTAGCGCAGCGAGCCAATCCGGGAAATCGCATCCGGGTGTCATTGCCGCCATTGTTGGGCTGCTCGTCGCCTCGGCTGTCGCAGGGGCGTTGACGTTGACGTGGTATCGTCGGCAGAAGCAAAAGATCGGAAGTGTGATCGAACTAGGCGACGCTCGATTGAGTAGTGATCAAATTAGGGAGGTTAGGAGGCGAAGCGCGTCCCCTCTCGTTAGTCTTGTGTATTCCAACGGCGGTTGGGATCCATTGGCGAAGGGACGAGGCACGACTAGTTTCTCGCAAGAGGTTCTCGAGAGCTATACGTTTAACTTAGAGGAAGTCGAGACGGCGACGCGCCACTTCTCAGAAGCGAACTTGTTGGGGAAGAGTAGCTTCTCGGCGATCTATAGGGGGGTTTTGAGGGACGGTTCGGATGTTGCGGTCAAGTGCATTTCGAAAGTTAGTTGTAATTCGAACGAAGTCGAGTTCGTTAACGGGTTGAAGTTGTTAACGTCGTTGAAGCACGAGAATCTCGTGAGGTTGCGAGGATTTTGTTGCTCCAAGGGCCGCGGAGAGTGCTTTCTCGTCTACGAATTCGTCCCGAACGGAAACTTGTTGCGATACCTCGACGCGAAGGAAGATTCGAGCAAGGCGCTTGATTGGTCAACCCGTAAATCCATCATCCGAGGAATCGCAAAAGGTTTGTCGTCGTAGCGTTATGATACTTTTGATGATCCTAAATCGACTCGAGTATCACAATTCGTGTTATAACTGTTGTTAGGGATCGAGTATTTGCACGGGAGTGACGACGAGAAGTCGATGCTAGTTCACCAAAACGTATCGGCGGAGAAGGTATTGATGGACGACGATTACAATCCGTTGATCTCGGATTCGGGGATTCACAAGCTTCTAGCGGATGATATAGTGTTCTCGATGCTAAAGGGGAGCGCAGCGATGGGTTATCTTGCGCCCGAGTACACGACCACCGGCCGGTTCACTGAGAAGAGCGACGTATACGCCTTTGGGATGATCATATTCCAAATCCTCTCGGGTAGAAGTCGAATCACACAATTGAATTGTCATGGTGCCGAGCTTTCCAAATTTGAAGACTTCATCGATGCGAGCCTCGCCGGGAAGTTTGATGAGTCGGAGGCGGCTAGGTTGGGCGAAGTTGCTCTGCTTTGCACGCACGAGCGCCCCGACCATAGGCCGGACATGAGGACGGTGATGCGAGAGTTGGAGAACATCGCGATCGTCTAGTCTTGATCTATGACTCTTTACTAGGCTGATTCTTTTTACGAAGAATTAGCGATCGAGTTTGAACTTGATTTGAATTTGAATTTGAATTTAGGCGCGAATGGATGTTAATTGGGAATTGGGATGTTGTAATTGTAAGATATACTGAGTTTGGTAAGAATTAATGGCAATGGAACTCAAGACAATGATGATTTGTGTCCTCTACATTTCGATCGAGAGTGATTCCATGTTGAATAGCAAAAATCGGCAGTTGGGATTAGTATATAATGGTGGAGATTTAATAAAAAAAAAAAAAGAAAAATGAATGTGTAATTTTTATAGTAAATCAGCCATGCTAATTATATTACAGCACACGATCTCTGTCCATAAGTATTGAAAATCTCAGATTGAATTTATTTTTCAGATTATGAATTGCTGCTTTCTAATTTATTACCTTATGCTTTCGATTTTCACTCCTGAGCCCATTTATTCACTTTATTGATTTAAATGTCTTTTCTAACACATTAATCTCACCATCAATGGCAGAAGTAGAGGGAAAAAAAATAAGAGTTTTTTTGAATAAATTCCTTAAGTTAATAATTTTTTTCAAAAAGTAAATTTTAAAGTAGTTCTGAAAACTATTTAATTTTGTAAAATTGAAGAGTTTTCAGAACTCATTGATTGTAAATTTAAGGAGTTCCGAGATGTCTTTTTTTTTTTTTTTTTTTTTTTGTAGTAAATCATTTAATAATTTCTAATAATATTTTTAAAATTCTCAGAACTTTTTAAATCTGCAACAAATGAGTTTTTGGAACTTCTTTTTAACTATGGGTGTGTTTGTTTGATAGTTTGAATTTTGAGTTGAGATTTAAATATTTTCCTAGCTGAACACACCCTATATATATATATTAATTTATTTTTTTTCTTATTTCTTAATAAAAGTTTTCTTTTGTTCCCATCATTTTAGTTGTGTAATTTAAGATAAGTTTTTTTTTTCTTTTTTTTCTTAATCTAAAATATAATTTTATTGTTAGTTTTATAAAATTAAAAAAAAAAATATTCCATATACATTTATAACAATTTATATGTACGATATGCTTATTTTTTTTCATGAATATAATATTAATAATTATTTGGTTTTTATATATTTTCTTATTTTTAATACTATTTTCGTCCACTTAATAAGTTGACATTTATGTTTTGTATGTTCATATTTATATATTAATTATTATATCAAAAAGTAGTACAAATCAAAAAAAAAAAAATATTTACTTTATAATACAAATATAATGATTATATAAATATTTTTAATATTAATTACAATAACGTAAAAGATATAAATTTATTAAAGGGATGAATGGAGTAATTTTTATTTAAAAGTAAGTCATAATAAAAATTATTAGTAAAGTTATATTTTATCTTACATTATTTCTAGTAATAAAAAAATATATATAAAAGAGTTATAATTATATTTATACACATATCATATTAGTATATATATATATATAAAAGATATATGATCTGCAATATTATTACTATTATATTTTATTTTATTGAAATTTTTAGTTTTTTTTTTTTTTAAGTTTAGAACTCGTTATATGTATGATATATTTATATTTATATTTATATTTATATTTTTTACTTTTAGAAATGATATGAAATAAAATATAATTTTGTAAATTTTTTATTATTATTTAATTTTATAAAAATTATTAAAAAAAATAAAAATCAAATAATTATTAATATTACATTCATTAAAGAACACACAAAATTATTTTAAAACCAAAAAATTTATAAAATCTACATTAAAACTATCAATATCATCCAAAAAATTAAAAAACAAATTCAAAATTGTTATAAATATGTATGAAATATTTTTTAATATTTTTTAAAATTAGCAATAAAATATCCAACAAATATAAAATTATGTTTTAGATTAAAAAAAAAAAAATTATCTTAAATTACATTAGGATGAAAATAATGAACAAAAGAAAAATTATACTACATCTGTCTGGATCTAAGGGTCTCATTTACTTTTTGCTTGTTGATATTTGAATATTAATTATTATATTAAAACGTAAGTACAAATTAAGATTAAATTGCAAAAATACTTTTGTTAATGTCTTATAATACTAATAAAATAATATTTGTACAAAAAAATATATACAAATATAAAAATATTTTTAATGTTAAATACAATAACGCAAAAGGTAAATGTAAATTAATATATATATATATATATTTAAAAGAAGTTCTCAAAACTCCTTCATTGTATATTTAAGGAGTTCTGCAAACTCCTTATAATATTGTTAGAAATTATTAAATGATTTACTACAAAAAAGAGTTCTCAAAACTCCTCCTTAAATCTACAATCAAGGAGTTCTAGAACTCCTCAATTTGTTAAAATTAAGTAGTTTTGAGAACTACTTCAAAGTCTATTTTTTGAAAAAAAATTATTGACTTGGGACATTTATTTAAAAACACGAAAAATAAATGTACGGTGGCTCTAACAAATTTATGTAAGAAGGAAGAAAGAGAAAAAAAAGACTTTGGCTTAGCTTCTTCTCCACCAGGGTGGTGTTGATTTTACATCAAGTTATGCCAATCAAATTTAAAGCCACTGCGTATCACTAATTTCGATTGAAGAAAATAAAGCCGTCCAAATATAATGAAAAGTCTTCGATAATAAGAGTCATTGTTTGTACTGACATCGAGTACTACTTATTTATTTTTTTCAGAATTTTAAAAATATTGTAATGTTACTGTGTTTTAATTGTTTTTGCTCGTGAGATTTTAAATTTAAATTTAAATTTGGAATAATAAAATTTTAAATTAAAATAATTATGTGAGATATAAATATGATATTTTAAATGTAAAATTAAATTTTATTATAATATAATAAAAAAATAAATATTTAATTTGATGAAATTTTGAAATATTTTTTTGAAATAATAAAATTTAAATGAGTCACCCAGAGCATCACCAACTCAACGTTACTTTTTGCATTGTTATAGTAGCAATACAAAAAAAATGGGCGTTGCTCTCTCTATATATATTTTTTTTAATTTTTCTAATTTTAAAATTTTTAATTTTAATTTTAAAATTTATTTTTTATTTTTTTAAATTTTTAAAAAAGTTATTTTAAATTATAAAAATAAAAAATTGTTTAAAATAATAATAAAAAAAATATTTAAAGAATAATAGTAAAAAATAGAATTATAATTAAAATAAAATTAATGTAGCAATGGCAGAAAATGATGGCACAAGTAACCATTCCTTAATTTAACATAGGTCAGCCTGACTCAACCACTTATAATTTTGAAATTATTGTAATAGTTTTGTAATAATTAAATAATTGAGTCGGACAAAAACTGCTCATTTATTACATGTGGGTTGGTGAAAAGTTTGAACACGGTCTGTTTGTTCCGGAGTAAAAATTTTGAATTTAAATAGTTGTATGATGTGATATAAATAGATGTTGATGTAATATTTTGAATGTGATTGATTTTTTAGTATAATATTAAAAATAAAAAATAGATATTTGATTTGATATTTTTGGAGCGAAAAAATGGGATAAATAGTTAATTTAAAACCAATCTCCAAACAATCGCACTTAATAGAATCATTTTCAAAAATTGAAAATAATTCACGGCAAACTGTTTATACAATAACATTGAAAATTAATTTTGATTATTTTAAAATTTTCAAAAACTGCAATGTCTAAACGGCATAAGGATTGGATCTAAGAAGACCGTTATTCCTAGACTAGACTGTTACCAAAAAATTATAAGCATATAGTATTTTTTGATGAAAATGTCACTAGCACGTAACGTAATGCAAATACAAATTGTGAAGCAAACTAGAAACAAGCACAAAACGTCCAACTCTCAATTCTAGATATTGCACATGTAATGTAATTCGATCAAAAATTTTATGTCATATAAACCTTTAATCTAGTTTAAATAAATTTAAAATGCTAAACTAATTGTGCATTTTAAATAACTTGTATACAGTTCAACAGCCGAAAGTTGCAAAGATAACTCATATAAACCTTTAATGTAAGAATAAATTCAACAAATACCTCTTGCATGTATACTCCACATAAATGCCACTAGAAATATAATATACTCAAACAACTTTTATGAAACGCACACCCACCAAAAAGTATTCACATTGTCACACATATACACAAACACATCATCATTTTCTCCATCACACCTCACTCAATTTATTCCCGCATCAGACATAGCTAAGCAAACACACACTCACAACTTATTTATACACAAGGAGAAGGATAAGAGGAGCATACTCTATTCTACTCGACAGGGATGATTCTTTTGGAGGATCGACCCTTTCCTTCCCTATCAGGTCGTGCTTCGGCTCCACGGTTCCCAAAATATTCGAGAGCTGGAAAGCCCCATTGACCCCAACCTGCAAATTCATCCCAAGCCCCTGCGTTGTGGAAAAACTGTCCCAATCTTAGACCAGATATTGGTATTATAAATATACATCACTATCAGGATAATCTTTGGACATACCCAAAAGAATTGCAGATAATATAGCAGATACATTGCATGATGTTGGAGTGATTATGCTTGAGAAAAAGAAAAAGGAAGAAATATAAACAACCGTCGTCATGCACTAATTTAGGTTGTAATAATCCCTTAGATTAGAGCTAAATAGTACTATCACAATTTGGCATGTTTACTACAAGGGATTAATTAATCTTCATGCTTAAGTTCAAATGTTCGTATAAACTGATGCATACTGCATCAGATTAAAATCGGCTTCAGAAATTATAATACTCAACAGCTCACCTGTGTTCTCGAGTAAACTGAAGCAATTACTCCATCCAGGCAACACATTATCAGCATTCACTTTCCAATTCTCTTCAAATCCAGCAAGCTCATCTACGAAATTATGATGTGAATATGTGATAAAAAAAACAAAAAAGTAAAAATTAGACCATCGACAAAAATCTGATTCTGATGCCAGGATAAGGAACCAAACCTTCCTGTAAATTGTGTAAAGTTTGCAGGGAATCGACTTGACCATCTGAACGCTGTTTGGTTGTAACAGAATGCCCCTTCCCATGTAGAAAACAAAGATAGCGTAAACAAAATCATTGTAATATACCCGGCACCCCACATAATTTTAGAATCATAATTTGACAAATTTTGATAATAATCGCACAATTTAAATATAATTTCATGTTGAAATGAATCCAAGTTGCATTAACTTAAGTTCCACAAATTGTCTGGCTAATGTAGATATGTTACTACCATCCACATTTAGCATTCATCATGGGCATAAACCTCTGTAGATTTGAATCGATGCTTGTCCAGATCGAAAATGCTACTTTGCAACAATAAATCCAAGGTAAAATCTCTATTATACTGATTCCCTGATTCACTATCACTTTTTCACATCATTTTAACTTTATCATATCGATTTCATTACCTAACTGTTAGTACTGTCGTGTTCATTACCTTATCATGCATCCCTTTAGAAATAGTATGCAGTGATTCACCGACAGTTCTGTCATCTTCTTTCATCTCCATCATAAACACCTTCTCCACCAACAGAAACAAATCAGAAATTACGAGTTTCAACCAATAGAGTTTCACCTCATAAAGGCACTCACTCACCCCATCACCACCAGTTCTTTTCCCAACAGAGGAGCTGTAGTACACTCCATTTGGTCCGCCATAGGCGACCCTCTGGTAACTGAAACTCTGAGTACCTGTGTGTGAAATCCAACATTACATACTAAGAGAAGTGGGAAGTTTCTTTGGGAACGATCAGCATGGCTCTAGTCAACAGTATCCTCCCTTACAAAACACTATCTTTTATTAATTGGAAAATAAGAAATAAATAACGCTCATCATGGAATTTTTCAAAGCACTAGAAATCGAAAATAAAATCAAAATGCTTCCTATTGAAATCAGATAATGAACTATTTCAAAGAATCATTTTCCATGTTTTTAGTTGACAGATTGTATATAAGAAAACATTTTTTCTTATTCTCAATTCCCTCTCCTGCCTTCGACCCTTCTCTATCTCTCTCTCAATCTACCACCAAGCAAACATCAATGTTTAAGATTCAGAAAAGCTACTATACTTAATAATCCTCTACAAAATGCCATTTTCAAAGAAATTAAAAATAATTAAAGCAACCGCAACAATATACCAGATGAATATTTGCTCGAATCCCCAACAGACAGGTCTTTGCTTGGCATGGTACTCTTCCAAGAGTCATGATCACCATCACTACCAGGGTTCAATTCCTCAATGGTTATTTGCCTCCTCGGTCCCGAACGATTTGCAATCTCTTCAGTGAAGAAAGGATCATCAAATGGACTCTTTCCCCCAAAGAAGCTACCAAAAGATTCAGTGAAAAATGGCTGGAAAAATGGATCCATCCCTCCTTAGATTCTAAATAAGATAAATTGAATTAGGAATATTCGTGCTGTCAAGCAGAGATTCCACAAGCACATACAAATCAAAAAGACACTTGTATAAACTTTTTTATTATTTTTTTCGATAAAAAAAAATTGACAAATTAAACAAAGAAAACCAAAAACCAACGATAATTTGCACTTTTCACAAAATTCAACGATAAATGAATAAAATTTACAATCCTTCGGCTGTTTCTCTAGCGACAGCAACAACAGATGAATCAAGCTCGAAATATGATACGAATTAGAAGAATAAAGAATGATTATCAATAAATGAGTAAACCCTCAATTTCACGAGTGCAACCTCGGTGGATAAATCCCCGATATGTTAAGATTGTGAGAAACACAGGCAAAGAATGGAGAATAGAGGAAGGATCAGTGATGAATCACCTCGATCGATCGTTGAGAGCGAGCGAATTCCTTGGATAGGCAGCTGCACTGTGGACTTTACTCTGCAACAACATAAAAATTGGAGTGAAGATACTTCTAGACAAATAATTAACGCAAAAAAAAAAAAAAAAAAAGCATTTCAGACGTGCTTTTTTCCGAAGTAAAGTAAAAAAAACATTTCAGACTTGTTTATTTGGATATAGCGTGCGATGCGGTGGCTGTTTCGTGAAAAATAATTTTTTTTTTTTGAAATTATAGAATTTAAATAGTAAAAATTTGAGATTTAGATTAAAAAAAACTCTAAATTTGGAGGTTTGTAATTTTATTTAAATACACCGTCCCTATATTTTTTGTCCACTATTTATATTTTTGTTCGTTTTATTTTTTTTTTCTTAGTAAATATAATTATACACTTTAATCACATCTTAAATTTCAATTTATAATTCTTTTAATTCTAATTATACTATTTAGTTATTTTTATTTTAATATATAATTAGTTTTATTATACAATAATTATTTTTAATAGTACACATTTTAATTACTTACTAATTATACTTTACATGATCTTTTTTTATTAGTGATACAATATTTAAGGTAATGATATTTAATTAATTAATAACAGTGAGTTATGATATTATTTTATTATTATTTTTATGTAATTAATTATATTGATAGTTTTAAAATAAATTTAATATATATGATCAATAAAATTAAAATATAAATTAAAATAATATAAAAGTTATATCTCAATAAATAAATATATATATATATGCAATATGAATAAAATTTTCTATAATAAAAGTAAATAAGAAAATTTATTTATAATTATCATAAACTAATTTTATAAAAGAGAGGAAGTTTTAAATGTAAATAAAAATATTTGTTTTTTTAAGAGAATGATATAAATAAATGAGTTTTGAATGGTCGACATATGATAGTCCCCCGTCTCATATCTATCTATTTATTTAGTTTTTGCAAAAGGTTTTAGAAATATTAGTATTATATTGGGATATAATATAAATAAAAGTAGAAAGACTAAATTAATGTTATTAATATTGTATGATAGAAAGGTAATGACATTTGTGTAATATATTGTAAATTGAAAGAATATTTGTAACAGACAGTACCATTACTAAACAAAGAAAATAGATAAATAGAAAAATGGATAAATTGTTAAGGAACTGAGAATATGTTACGAAGTTTATTAAATTATTTATATTCGTTAAGAATATTAGTAAGTTTTACCAAAAATAGAAATATATTAATTTTGATGGGACAAATTCAAATAAAAAAATATTGATTAAAATGGGCCGAATGGAGTATTTTATAATAAAAATAATTCATATAACACAATCCAACACAATGTTAGTATGTATTGTACTAAATAACATTATATAATTGTGTTTGCTTTATATTATTATATTACATTATGTTGAAAATAATTATAAATGATGTTGTAGTCGACTATGACATATGTGGAATATAACAAATCAAACATATTGTATAATTTATAGATGATTTCAATATTTTTTATCGTTAATTTCAATATAATTTATAAATATCCATTACAAATATCCAAAATTTATATTGGATTTAGCGAGAGATTTGTAATATAGCAAATATTCAGATTTTATGAAGAATTTAGTGAGATGTGTATAACTTTGCAAAATTATCCCTACATTATTTTTATTTTATGTAGTAAGTGAGGCAGTTGCATAGGAATAATCTAAAATTTTATGTTAATCCCTAATGCTCCACACAATACGTGACACACTCACGCTTGTTATGCGTTTCATTGATTTAAGGGGATGTGAACTAGTGTGATCGGAGAACTTGCTATATTTCGTCAGAATTTATCCGGTATGGTTATCTTCAATAAAAAAACATGCTTGCTTGATGGTAATATAATGTTGGCTATTAATCTATTTTAGAAATACTATATATACTAGATGATTTTTAAAAATGGACAGTATAATTAGAGCTGTCAAAATAGGTTTAACCCGTCGGATTAGTCCGACCCGCCTTATTTTTAAAGAAGATCGGATTATAACTTTTTAGGTCCGTTAAAATGCGAGTCTAAATAGGCCAACCCGCATAGGTTGCGGGTTGAAAGTGGGTTAACCCGCAACGGGACGGATTGGACCGCGGGCAATTAATATACAAATTATAATAGATTAATTATTATTATTATTTATAGTATAATTATTTACTTATACTATATTATTTTCATTATGATCTAATTTAATTAATATATCTTATAACAACTTTCCTAAAATATTTTGGATTAAATTAGGAAAACACTTCAATCTAGTAATTATAATATTAAAATCTTTTATTTTATGTTCATAAAAATTTAAACTTCCAAATTTGCAAATCCACAATCACAAGTCGCCGCCACCTTTTTTTTTTCCTTAGCCACCGCCGCTTTTCTTCCATTCATCTTGGTCGTTGCATTTTATGGATTTCGGCTCTTAAAAAATTTGTAAGTTTAAATTTTATTTATGGCTAAATTATTTAGTATTATCTTTCTTTTTAATAGTAGTAGATGATATCAAGAGATTGAATTTGTTAATTATAGTTTATTTGGTTGGTTTTCATTTTATTGAAAATTTTAAATGATATTTTATTTGTTGTTGCTTTGTAAATTCTTCTAAGGATTGGTGAATTTATTTTCTTTTTGTTCTTTTATTGAAATCATTTTATATGTTATAAATAATTTGATTAGTTCTAAAATTATACATTATTTTTATAATTTTTTTTAAAAAATATAGTATTTGTGATTTTACCTTTAAAGGTAAATATTACTTTCCATTAATATATTTTTAACTTTGAATTTATACTACTTTCAGATTTCCATTCAATGCATCAAGAGGTGAATATGAATAAGAACATGAAATGAGAAGTTCTAAAACTATTTCAAATGACTAAAAGATAAATGTTAGACAACATTCTGATGTTTGGAATTTTTTTATAAAAAAAAGAGAAGGGAACGATACTCTTTATGAATGCAAGGGTTGTAAGAAAATTTATTAAAGTGGGGGAAGAAATTATGGAACTTCTATAAGGCGTCACATGAAAATATGCAAAAAGTTGAAGTACCATGATATTGGTCAAATGATAGTTGATGTTGATGAGAAGCTGAAAAGTAAAAAGGCTAATCCAAATATTGTGCGTGAGTTTATAGCTACTGTAGTTGTCAAGCACGATATGCCTTTTTCTTTTGTCGAATATGATGGTATCAAAGATCTTTTAGAGTATGCATTTCCTACTCTTGTTGTTATATCTAGAAACACTGTTGTTTCTGATATTAATAAGTTGTATTTAATGGAAAATGCTAAAGTTAAAGAAGTTTTGGCTAACATTCAACATCGCATAGTATTTTGAAAGATCAGTTCTCTATGAATGCCAATTTATGGTGTAGAGGTGAATTTTTTCACATTCGTTGTTTGGCTTACATATTGAATCTTATTGTGCAAGATGGTTTAAAAGTTGGTGCGATAGTTTTGAGTAAAATAAGAGAATATGTGAAATATGTTAAAGGTTCGGAAGGTCGGATGAAAGTATTTCAGGGATGTATGAGAGAAATTAAAGGCATTGATACTACTATTGGTTTGAGGTTTAAGTAAAATAAGAGAATTTGTGAAATATATTAAAGGTTCGGAAGGTCGGATAAAAGTATTTCAGGAGTGTGTGAGGGAAATTAAAGGCATTGATACTACTATTGGTTTGAGGAATGATGTATGCACTCGATGGAATTCAACATACTTGATGTTGGATATTAAGTACAAGAGGCTTTTATTTCCCTCAAGTTGAAAGACAGTGGATACAAATTTTGTTTTTCAAATGAGGAATGACAAAAGGGTGAGAAGTTATGCAATTTTCTTGAGCCATTTTATGACATGACCAAGTTGATTTCTGATTCATCTTATCCCATGTCAAATTTGTACTTTATGCAAGTGTAAAAAATTAAATGCTTGTTAAGATGTAACTTGTCAAGTAATGATGCAAATATAAGTGGAATGTGTAAAAGTATGATTGCAAAATTTGACAAGTATTGGGGCGATTCTAGTATTGTGCTTGCATTTGGAGTTGTTCTTGACCATTGGATAAAATTGCAATCGTTGGATTTTTTTTATTCAAAGGTTGAAAGTGATTTTGTGAAATGTCAAGGAAATGTAGCACTTGTGTAGAGTAAATTATATAAACTTTTTGAAGGTTACAATAATGCTACCAACTCAAGTTCATCACAACCTCAGTCGTCATTTTCTTTGCATGCATCTCACATTGGAGAAGTCAAAGGAAAAAATAAAATGCTCTTTAGTGTAAGTACTCTATTAATAAAATGCTCTTTAGTGTAAGTACTCTATTATTATTATTATTATTATTATTATTATTATTATTATTATTATCTTGTAGTTTTTTTTTCATGTAAATATCTATTTGTTTAACTTCGTACTTAATATATATGTAGGAACTGAAACTTTTGTGAATCAAATCACAAGAAGTGTCGGAAAAAAATCAACTGAATATCCATTTAGAAGGAGTGTTGGAATATGGTCAATATGAAGATATGAATGTGTTGGAATATTGGAAATGTCAAAGTCATCGACATCCTGAGCTTGCATCGATGGCATGTGATATACTATCTATTCCCATTACAACAGTTGCATTTGAATCAGTTTTCTCTCTTGGTGGTCATATTCTCACAAAGTACAGAAGTCCTATGGTTTCTCGGAGAATTCAAACTTTGATTTGCACACGTAATTGGTTGCACGGATTTGCTATTGGTAAGTTATATTATATAATAAATATTTAAATAAATTTTTTATGTCATATTTTTCTATATAACTCTAATTTATTTTATTCGTAGATGATATTGATAATGATGGTGATGGAGATGGTGATGACGATGATGATGATGATGATGATTGCATGAGGAATTAGACACTCATGCCAGTCGAAGAGTCTACTATTTTGCATATTAGTGAATTATGAACAAGAAGAAAACGAAGAACATTTTAATAATGATATGATTGATTAATTTTAATTTTGAAACTATTATGTTTGCGTATTTGGATGTTGAAAATTGGAATTGTGTTACTGAATTAATATTTA